TATTAAAGAAATAATATTTGATAGTTACTTTTCACAAATTATTACCATCTGTAATACAATAGAGACTTCCTTAGTATCTAAACTTTCTATTATCTAATTATTGTATTATTTACATACATTGTCACCTTGTAGAGAACTTCAACGAAATTTTTAAATAACAGAATGTTTTGTATCAGAATTTTGAAAAAATAAACCTTCGGATAAGAGAATCTCTGCTATACTTCTAAAAGTTCTTTATATGAAAATGTCATGATTTCTTGTGTCAACCATATCTATCGCATAGAAGATTTCATATAAGATTTCAAACAAATAAACTTATTTATTTGCAAGAATTTAAATATTAATAGAATCAATAATAATAACATATATATATAAATATATGTATGTAGAATAATAATGACAGAATTAATAAAATATCACACAAAATTAATTTGCAATTCTTATTTTCACGGTCTGTTGGTCCTACACGTGTTATTGCTGAAAATGTGGCCTAATGCTTTAATAAATTAAGAAGATGTTGACGTAGTTACGAATCCGGATTCCGGAATTCAGGGTCATATTGGTGATCAAAGTTTTGCAAGTGGTTGAACTCTTCGCGTTTACTAAAATAGCACAAAATCAGAATTAAATATTCGAATTTCGTGCTGATTGACTTTTATCGAAAACATTTTTTCGTTACTATTACTTATGAGGAGTGCTGTAAACAGTGTTATTGAACACTCCGTCATATGCAAAAAATATTTCATCCTATGTATAAATAATGAAAAACATATCTTCACTGTTGATAATTTGTTCGTATGTCTCCAACTAACTTCATCTAAAATCAGTACAAAGTTGGAATATGTGATCTTAACACATTATTTATCAGCGATGATTTCGTTATTTTTAAGAGTATAATTAATAACTCCTTAATTGTTAGAAATCTTGATTTTTCAAAGTCAATAACACTTTCAGCAACTAGTTATTGCTACTGACATAACCTAATATTTTCGTCTAAGATTATTATGTAGAAAAAAATGTTTAAAACTCTTCTTAGTTTAGCAATTGAAAATATTAACTGGCTTCCGATAGATAAAATATTAAATAAGAAATGTTCTCTGATTATTTTCAAGATACGTTTCAGCTGATGTGTTAACACAATCTAGAAACAGTTAAAAAGTATGCTTGTTCGATCGTACAGCATGTATGCTGACACATGTAAAACAATTGATCTATTGTTACAATATAAAAATTGTTAATATCACTCGAAAGCGAGTGGTACATAGATATGTATTTCTGGAAATTCTATTAACGAACGTTCGCGTTTTAGTTGCAGCTTCGAGGCACGTGAATTTAAATAAACTTGACATGATCCTGATATGTGACACGTGGACATAGATTAATTTCAATAAAATGTTCCAACGTCATGGAAAGTTAGTAAAATCAGTTTGCAAATTCCTGCTTATATAAGCAATATTTTCAAACGCAATATGAAACAGCACGTTATGGAAAACGATGCTGGCGAACATAACGCTCGATGCTTCTGGAAAATACGCAACAAACAAACTATTGCGAAAATAGTGTTCCATTGGAGGATGGAGGACGGTTGAACCGGTCAGATTGGTCGACCGAGAACCACACCTTCTTTTATCGGATATTCATATGAATTCGCTGCTTACGTAGACTCCCAGTTACAATCATTTGCACTAGACGTGATCACGCTCTCGCTATCGAACAACTACATAGGATAGTGGCCTTGCTACAGTTGTGTTTTCAAATCTCGCATCTAATACTGTTTATCTCGCACTATTTATCTGGCTTTTTGAACGGCTCACGAAAGTGTTTGAATACCTTTTAACACGTTCAGCGCCCACAATTGATCACTAAAATTCCCACAAAAGTCAGAACAGTTTAATTAATTAATTAAACCGAAACCATAAGACCATTTAAACTTTTATAACCATTTAAAACTAATCACAGTGGATGACATTAGGACTCTTTCGTATACGAAACATCCTAGTGAAATTCAGTTCGTTCGAATTCATTACAATGAAAATGAATTTTCAAAATTGGTCAAAAATTATTGTCATCCATATTTCATCGACACGGCGCTCGTGTTAAATGACTTGAAATTTTTGGAAATGTTAAAAGAGACTAGTTTACTAGAAAATGTCCAAAAATTTATTTCTCCAAATTGTAACTGCTTGAAATGTCGAAACAAGATAAAATACTCACTTTTTTAAACTTTTTTAATCGAGTCTGTAACGGAAATTTAAAAAATGCATTTTGTATATCTTGGTAACTTACATGGACGCCGAAAAGTCGAAATCGGTTAACGCAGAGTCAAACCACAATCGTTAAAAGATTTAAAAAACTGCACATTTCTGACAGTTACTGGTCAAAGTATCGAGCATCGTGACAAAGCTATAATTTTCGTAATCTTTAATTATTTACGGCACATGTCAAGGTGACCGATTTCAATGAAATTTTCAGCATTCGCATAAGTTACTGAAGTTTATGAAACACATTTTCTTTCTTACAGGCTCAGATGAAAATGTTAAAAAGCGAGAGTTTCTTATTTTATTTGTCATTTGAAGCAATTGCAATTTAAAAAAGACATTTGTAGACAATGTCTAATAAATCAATCAACCACCATCTCAAAAAAATATAAAACACTTTTGAGAAAGTTCCAATTTTAAAAAAAGTACTATGATCTAAATGTTCGAACACTTTCGAAAGCTACATATGTCTGTTTTCTAATTACTGCGTTAGTCATTTTTTACATCCGATCTATTAATATTTACATTGTTTGAAGTTCACAGAATTTTCATGATATTAGTAGCCCGACAAAAATTGTATT